TCCCAGACTAATAGTGCAGTTACTTATGTGGAGGGTATTATCGTAATTAATTTCTGGTATATTAGTCAGCTCTTCAGGTTTATAAATAGATTGAAATTCTATAGCAAAATTATTTACAATATCATTACCATTTTCAAAATACTGATCACCCAAATACATATTTTCGGGCAGACCAGGATTTTTTCTTTTATTATTAATAAAATTCCAAAACTGTTTAAGGTTTCCTGTTGTATTTATATTGTATTCAGTGATTCGTACAAAATTATCATAATTGTGTTTACTTAGTTCATTGCATTGTCTTCTAAGGTTGAAAATATCAAATAATTATCCCAATTTTGACTTAAACCGCTTATGTGCTATTTGCTTTCAGATTTCAGAAAAAGATTTCATACGTCACTTGAATATTTCAACGTATATATGTTACACCTTGTATATTTCCATTCATGAATACGTACATGCATTCTTCATCTACATTTTATTTATGTCTTTTATACTTTTTTTTTATAATTAGTGTCTTCACTAGATAGTTCAATTTGGTTTTTCATTAATCAAAAAAGTTCTGTGCTTTGTCAACACTAATGAACATTTAAAACTTATATATTTTACAATACCTACCTGAAATCATTTTACATTATTTTTAGAATAGCACGTTTGTTTCAAGTTTCATAATTCACATAATGTTTTTAAAATTTTACTCATAAAAGTAATTTGTTTTTAGGCTTGCCCTTCCATAACCGACTCTATTTGCCTGGTGGGCCTGAGACCATTCTTGGGTGTAGAACAAATTTTATTATCTGAAAATTATATGGTTCTTTTAGCAAATTCTGAAACCTCACCTGCTCATTCAGCCAGCTCAAATAGTAGTTCAAATGTGTCATTCCTGACTTTGTACAACCTGGAGTTGCCCTCTCCAAAGATGGTGTTCAATGACATTTCAATTGTGGCGAATGTTCATAGATTTACGTCAGTTCAGACATATTGTCAGTTGATGAGTGAGGCTCATATGGTGTTACGAATGGTTTTACTCCTTAAAAAATGGACAATGAGCGATGAAAATGTGAGATTGATTTTACCGAGCAATACCAAAAATGATGATGTGATAGAAACTTATAGAATATCATGTGCTCTTTTAGGAGATCATTATATAATGTAAGTACCCTAGAAGTTCATTTCATTGAAGATAAGAGAATTGAAACTTTCTATGTTTTTTACCACTTTCATTTGTAACTGACGATACTGCAGTTTCGTCCTATAAGGACCTTTTCAAACTTATACATTAAACTCTTTTGTTTTTTTTTTTTACTTCCGGTATATACAATCACTAATTGTAGACCTAACTTGGTCATAAAAAATGTCAAATTCTATCTGGTGGAGTTTATAAGTAAGTTCAGAGTGCAATACCTTCAAATAATGTTGCAGGATACTCCTTTTTGAGAACAGTGCTTTGCACTCTTCTTTTAGCCAGATCTCTCATGCCTTCATTATCGCCTTTTCTGCTGCTGGTGTTTTTGTCCTGGTTAAGATAATGTATTTCGGGGTAATTTTTACTCTTAAGCACTCTTGGTTGAACCATAAGTTTTGTGATGCTTGATGGTACTTCATTTTTGGTTTAAAGTAGTATGTGGCTTGTCTAGCTGAACTTGTTTCTTTCAATAAATTTATGGATGTAACCGTTACTACCTGGTAGGAAGTCATAATGAGGAAAAGAGAATTGAAACTTTCCATGTTTTTTACCACTTTTATTTGTAACTAACGTTACTACAGTATCGTCCTATAAGGACACTCTCAAACTTATAGGACGAAACTGCAGTAACGTTAGTTTCAAATAAAAGTGTTAAAAAACATAGAAAGTTTCACTCTTGTCTTGTCTTGTCTTGTCTTGTCCAAGAGGACCTTATGTCTTGTCTTGACGAGACAAAATTTTTCGAAAGGAAAATCTTCTCTTGTCTCGATCGAGACATGATTAGACAAGACAAGACCAGACAAGAGTCGAGAATCTCTTGTCTCGGCGGCAACACTAGTTAAACTATTATTAAAATTTGAGGGTCGATATTCTTTTTTGTTATGAGTCTTAAATATATGTAGAATAGGTCGAGTTAGATGGCAGTGGAATTGCCTAAAATGTTGCCATTTCCTCTATATCATCTGGAATCATAATAAGTAAATTTATTGGTTCATTGGTAGTCGGTAGTGTTTTTTTCCTGCATCTACTCTGAACATTTTAAAATCATCCCAGTTAGAACGGAAGTTATAAGGAAATGTATGTGGCAGGTGGGACTCAATATATTGTATTCTAAGGCCTTTGACTGTGTGTGGCATGATAATTTGCTGGCCAAACTTCAATGCTATGACATTTCGGATCATTTTTGTGTATGGCTCTTCAACTTCCTGAAAGAAAGTTCCCTGGAAGTGGCCGTCGATGGATATCTCTCGAATACTTTCACTATCAACGCTGGTGTTCCCCAGGGATCCATATTGTCTCCAACCCTCTTTTTATTGTATATCAACGACTTATTGGAAAAAAAACAAGAATCCAATTTATTGGTTTGCTGAAAACAGCACACTTGTCTCGTCATTCCATTTGGATTCCAGGACATCGGCTACAGAGGCATATCTTCACCGGCAGCAGGAGGTTGCATATCCTAACGAGGATCTACAAGTGATTTCGAATTGGGGTGGAAGTAGCCAGGTTCAATTTAATGTCACAAAAACCCAGGCATCGGTTTTCTCCAAGAAGATAAATGTCTCCGAACAAGATATAATAATGTCAAGTCATATAATTCCGCTTTCTGCTTCGATGAGTTTGTTGGGGGTTAAAATGGACACAAGTATGTTATGGCACAATCATGTCACTGGAATTGCAAAGGCTGCTTCGCAAAAGCTTGGAACACTGTTTCCAACCAGAAAACTGTATACACCTCAGCAAGTTTTGATGCTTTATAAAGCTCAGATCAGGCCTTCTTTGGATTATTGTTCTCCGCTCCCAAACATACCTTAAAGTTGCTGGATTCCATTAAAAAAAAAATTTTGAAATCATTCAAGTGGTTCTTGACGGAAATATTTCATCTTCATATTATTAGTTTAGATGATATCTTCTGAGATACTCCTCGAGTGTGGTATAGAACCTTCAAGATATTTTTAGAGGTACTTTCAATATTACATTTACATTTTTATAACATTGAATTTTAGGTGTAATAATGAAGATGAATACAGTCTTGCTATTCCCTATTATAAAATGGCCAGAATCTTACCTATCGAGGTTTTAAAAAGAGTGAAAAAAATACAAGAACAATCGGGAAACCAGGTAGGCATTCTTTGTTGAAATTTTTCATTGTTAAGATTCACATATCAGTTGATATTTAATCTTCTGGTCAGTTCAAGATGATATAGAAAGTTTGAAAATTGTTTTATTTCAGTCTACAAAAGGTTTGATGCATTATTTGAAGAAAATTTTGTTGGAAGTTAAAGTAGGTTCTGATGCCGACAAAATATTTGGTACAAACTCTAAAGAAAATTTATCTGAATCGATTTTGGATTTACTGGAAAACCACTGTTATCGAGATCTGCCGAATTTGATATTGAAAAGTAAAATAATTAGGGAATATTCAACTGATAAGTTGATTTCCATTCTAACTGAGAAACTTTCAGAGTGAGTATGAATTATATAAGTTGCTTTCTTGTGATATATTCTTAATAAATTAATAATATTCCTTTCAGAGATTTTCCAAAAATAGTTGAAAAGCATTTAGCGTTAACAATTTTATACATACAGAAATGTAATATGAATAAAGCGCGGGAGTATTTAGAAAAAATATCCAAAGATTGTATTTATAACCTCGTTCTGGAGAACTACGACCTTCTTTTTGAAACAACATATTCTGTGAAGAATCGAAACAAGGGTGTAATGACTTTTTCCGAACTGACTATTTTGCTTATAAGTGTCTGCCCAGAGTTATTGTCCTCTATTTTCGTTTCTCTAATGATCAACAAAAAAGTTATCAATCTGAATAGAATCATCAAGGTGAGTATGTAATTTCATACCAATTATTTCTTCATGTGGCTTTTCAAGAAATCAAAAGTATGTTTTAATATGAAATTGAATAATTATTAATTTCTCTAAAAAGCTTGTTTGAAATGATTTATACTGTATTTATACTGATTTATACTGCATAATCGGAACCAAGAATACATCAATTATGTTTATTTTTTGGAATTTTTCTACAATGTTTTCTAAGAAGGCGCTAAAGGGTCTCAGAGTATTTTTAGTTTTTCAGTTTATAACTGTCGATTAGCCATATTTATTAGTGTCATCACTACATAGTATAAAATAAAGTTGCTTCTTGCTGTTTATTCCTTAAAAAGGTCTACAAAAAAGTCTGCGATGATGTATGTCTATCTCTTAGAGATAATCCACAATAAACATTTTTTGTATTCTACTTTTTTACGAAGCAATTTTAAGAAATACAGCATTAATATTTATCCAATTGAGTAGCTTAAATACATTGTGCATTTAATATAGATCAATATGGCCCTTTACGGCATGTAATTTAAATGAATATTTTCGAAGATTCTACAGATTTGAAATGCAGGGACGTAGCGGTTGCGGCGTTACCGGCCGGGGGACTAGCTGTGTCTATAAATAGCGCGTCGAAGGCCGCCCTTCGTCTTATAGCACAAGTCCGAAGCCGGGGCGTGTCGCTAGTTTACTTACAATCTACAGTTCAAACTATAGTTCAAGCTGTTGTTTATCTATAATCTACAGTTTGAATTATCCGCATCTTGCTGATTATTAATTCATGTCAGTATACCCCTAATTCAAATATATAAATGCGAGTTTTTAGGTATTTCTGGAATATCTTCCATCCAGCATTAGCAATGACAGCAATTCAGCAAGCTTGGTCCTTCAAAAAACACTAGAAACATATTTTGAACAGTATTTTTCGAAGCCTGAAAACATTGATTTGAGTAAAATTATATATGAGAGAGGGGCATGTGAAGCCATGAAACTTTTGGTGAGATCATACTTATCGCAATTACAAATCCTTCAGTTGCGTGAAGAAAGCATGAAAAAAGAGGGGAACAGTTTTAGGTAAGATGGCGATGTTTGTTTTGAAGATAGATGACTGATAGATTCTAATTGTTTTCCAGCCACAATAACAAAGAAGATAAAGATGTATTCGAAGATGGAAATGATGATAATAATAAGGACCGACATCAAGAAAAACTAGGGTATAATCGAATAAACCAAACGTACTTCGAAGAACAGATCAAGAAACATGAAGGTTCATATTTATTCTCTAGTCTTCGGTATGAATATTTAGACAAAATGCAACCATTCCAATTGGAAATATGCTCAAAGCTTTACGAAGCTTGTATTGATAACTATCCTGTCACAGCACAGTGTTCAGCAAATGAAGAGGCTGATCTTATATTGAAAAAGTTACAGGCTCTGTTGTGCAGCCAAGTTGTTCCAAAACAAGTTATTACAGAGGTAATAAGCCAATTTTATGACCATTTTACCATATTGACCAACTGCTTATTGAGTATTTCTCTCTCTAAAAAACTATCATTCAATATTAAAGTAATTTAACTAGTTCGAAACTCATCTGATTTTATACTGAATGGATTGAATGAATTCACAGAAACGAAATCTAGTAATGGAATGAAAATTTACAAGGAACTGTTTTGAAACCTATGTTTGACTTTTACATATCTAAATCTATCATAATTTCTTATAATTTGCAAATGGTCTCGATTGAAACAGAAATAAGTCTTTGTGGAAGATTCATGCCCTCATTTTCATTGCAATGTGACATTCTGCCTTCATCAAAGTAGGTTAAAAATTGTATTACAAGTATTGTTCATAATTGTAATCCACTTGCCTATTAGAGATGTATTTGATTTTCTTACCGTATATGATCTTGAAAATATCTGAGCTTCGCTTCTATAGTAAGAAACACAAAATTATTCAAGTGAAAACTGAAAACACTGACTCAACTATTCTTTTAATAGAACTGCAATAGTCCAGACAATGTTCACACTGGCCCAGTTGAAGATTGGTTTAGTACAAATCATTATTATATAAGTAGACGACGGATTTTAACATTCAATACAAATATTACAGTAACTAAATACAGCTCTGCTTTAATCGTTGAATTTTTTTTTATTCGACAATATGAAGAGCTTACGATAAAAATGTCTGGTCAGTCAGAAACAATCCCAAGTCTACCAATACAATTTAAAAAAATAATTGAATCGGAAATCACTAATGTCTTGACAAGGTTAATAATAGAATTGGAAAATTTTTAAACTGACAATTACTAAATGTCGGATTTCAATAGTAATTTATTCAAATTTCAATTTTGAAATAAATATTTTTTTATGGTTTTAATAAATAAGTATAGACTCTTCAGAAAATATCTCTACTAATTGATGGATGTAGCCGTTACTACGTGGTAGGAAATCATAATGAAGAAAAGAGAAATGAAACTTGTCCTATACAGACATTTTCAAACTTATAACAATAAACTTTGCAGTAACGTTAGTTACAAATAAAAGTGGTAAAAAACATACTTACTTTGCAGATAGAAAACAAGTCAAACTGACTACTTCACTAAATGATTGATTAACAACTTTTTAACAATTAAACTAAAATAAACTAACCTGAATTGGAAACACAGTTTTTTAACAATGGAGTTAAATAAGCTAACTCAAATCGAAAATACAATTTGGCTGTACTATAACTTGGATTCGTATAGACGTACGCCAGGTTGATCTTCAACCATATACTGTAACATATCAAATACAATGTTTTTGAAACGCTTAATATTGAAGTGTTGAAGGTGAATTCGTTATCTACGCCAGTATTCTTTTTGTTTTTTATTCTGTAGGTAGCTGTGTTTTTTTTCTAGGTGAATGGTTACCTTTCTGTCAATGAAAATTTGAGAGGCAACGAAAGTTTGCAGTCAATTATTATGGGTACCAACGATGCTATTTTATTACTTATTGATGCGTGTCCACAGTGCCTCCTTCAGTTTGGAAAGGTAAGAGTATTAGCAATAGGCATTTAAGAACTATAAAAGTAAACACATTGTCGAAAAAATCAGCAGATCAGTTGGTACAATTTTATATAACATTCTGCAACAACCTGGAAAATGGACAAAATTCATTTCACTTTGAAATTTTTCAGGACCGTTTCAGTAGAACAGATGAATGGAAACTTTTGATAGCAACTGTACAGAGAAGAATCTTGAAGTTATCTCAGAATGTGAACCTGAAAAGAGTGTGTTTTTTCCATAAGAAGATTCTTAAAGGTAAAGTGCTATGCAAGCTGGTCATCAAATCTAAGGAATATTAAACCTTTAGAATATGTTCTATCACATTATAATCTAGTAGAATTAAATCATTAGGTATTGATAGTGATATCCAATTAGCTCATGAGACATCTATTGCAAATCCATTTTGGATATTGTAAAAACACACTATTTATAAAATAGTATAACATAAATTATTCAATACAACTAAAAAACTACCTTTTGTAAGTGAATTATTGGGAAGCCATTAAATTTCGATTTTTAACATTTATATTGGATATCTTGTGGATTGTATGGCTATTTTTTCAAAAAACAAAATCCCGTTATATTCTGAATATACTTCATAATCAACAAAAATTACCAATTTAAAAAATTGGGTAATTTTCACTGATTACTTTCTCATTGATTATGTTGAATATCATATTGAAATTAATTTTTTCATCATGTACGAATGTGAATTCATTAACATTTTCTTAAACTTTCAGATATTTTGACCTATGTAGCTTCAAATATGACACTTGATCAACTTGTTCAAGTCTTTCCTCAACGATTTAGTGTGAATAATCAAGATAACACTAGTGACATATCACTACCTATTGATCGTCACATTACGACTGAAACAACTTGCACCGAGGATGATTTGGATCTTCTGAAAGAAATTCAAAACTATGAGCCGTACGTTATCATATGCAAAGAAACGATGCATGCTAATCAAATAAACAAGCTAATAATTACAACTGGACAGCAATTGTTATGTTCTTTGAACCTGTAAAATGATTATCTTAGTGTCGGTTCAGAAAGTGTTTTCACTTAGTTAATTGACTTTATTTATTCATTACACGACCTCAGATTTAATACATAACATATATATGTCATTGTGTAGTTGACATAGGTTTTCATAGTTTTTATCTAAAACACCGAAAATCTCTTGTTTTAATATTGTATGTTGAACATTTGAGAGGGCAATTATATACTCATGGGTTTACCCCCATTTTCTGCTTCATCCTTTTTGTTTTTTTTTTAATGGACCCATCAAACGTGTCTATTAAAAAGTCATGTTTTGGAGTTCAGTTTTATAGTTGAACACAGTATTCTATATCATTGTATTTTTGATATACTCACTGAGCGGGCTCAGAGACATGCATCGTTTTGGCACCGACACACACCTTAGGATGAGGCATCACTTAGAAGAATTCTTAGCTCCACGGGTGACACTTCATTTAATTTACAAATGAAGAATTCAACTCTTCATTGACTAACGAAAATATTATTCATATAAGGTATAATTGTTAGAATGTCAATAAAATTAAATAATTCAAATCTTGTTTGATTTTTCTCTTGTGGCTGTGGTTAGTTTTATTTTATAACTAAGTGAACAGTTAATTAGGAATGCATCGAAAATAAGAGCTGGGTAGCATTCAAAGAGGTTTGAGTTTTTGTTGAGGAGTTAGTGGGTCCCTTGTAGTCCCTATGGAATTGATTTTTTTAGGTGTTTTAATAGTTCTATTGATTAGTGAGTAGTCACATTGACAGATATAATTGCTGGTGTGTTTATCTATACTTAACACTTTGAATAAAATATTTTTTCTATAATATTTCGTCCCATGTTGAATATCAATACAATCATATCAAACGCATAATAGCTGAATGGTGTTGGTTAGATGAAGAATGACAAAACAAAATTTATCCAGACATTCTGCAAAAAAATTAAGATGGAAAATCACAGTTTAAAGTTTTTTTGTTTGAATTAAAAAAATGTCCACCGGGATAGTGAAAGTTTTTTATTCTTCATTCTTCACCACTAAAACTAATAGCAGGGACTAATGGTACTTTATCACTCAAGGTTGAGAATGAAGCATGATATGCCGATTATATTGAATTGAAAGAGGTACAGTCTTGACCATTATGTAGTTCAAAAACAAAATCCACAAAGAAGACTAAAATTTTTGTCAACTAATTCTGCCTAGCTCTGTTTTCTGTGTTATTGATATTTATTACTTGTTTGTGATTTAGGCTGTAGGAACATTTTTACCCTATCAATATGGCCAAAGAATCAGTTTGAAAATTTTATTGAGAGTTGGAGAAAAATTGCATTTTATTGTTTAAAAAAAAATTTAATATACCTTTATTATCATTAGGTAGTACTTTTGAAATTTATCTACTTCGAAATTTTTTGTAAAATATGGTTTATTATGAAAAATAAAAGTATGGACAATTCTCATCTGTACCGATATTGCACAAAGGTAGAACATATGACTATAAAATATGTTTGCTTTGAGCTTTGTGTCATATTATGATATCACTCTTTATAAGATGAATGTGCACCCTATCATGAATATATTCATAGTTGAATAGAATTAAAATTAAATTGAGCCCCTTTGTTCCATTTGAACATGGAATATATGTGTTTGCTTGTTCTGTTATTTTTTTAAAATCTTTTATGATTTGAAAAATAATTTTATTGAAAATTATATAAAATTATATTCTTGTTGAATATTATTGTAAAATTTTAAATGGATAATAGATGTAATGATGAAATTTCGATGTTTTCCTCAGATATCCTACATCTCCTCAAGTTTTAAATACAAAATATGAAATATTGATAGGGAATCAATAAATTTGATTCGATTTTTCCATGGCATTTTCATTATTTTTAGATTTTTCTTCTCCTCGATTTATCTAGAACATTTCAAAGTATGTTGTTATTTTCAGATATTACTTTTGTTTGCTCAAAATTTACGATGTGAACAAAATTGAATAAATGATAAAAAATCCTATATTTTTATGTTTTACTGTTGAAAGAAAAACGTTTTTGTAACAGGAAATACAAAGTATGTTATACCTATGTATGTTAATACTCTTTGATGATAATTCTTTAATTTTATAAAAATAGAATTTGGACTATTTGGAGAAATCATATTTTTGGAAATAATATTATTTTGTTAATTTTTTTATACATTCAATTAATTTTTGATATACATAATTCAATGTGTGCCCGTTTTGGTATTGCTATATATTTTTTGCATTGCAATCTGTTACCAACAGCATATTGGGGATTAATTAGTGTCTCTGAACATTCCAGGTATTTTAATAACCCCCAATTTTTTGAAAAGCGTTTCTTTTCTTATAAGGAAAGTGTTGTTTTTCTGTCAAAATATTTCACTTTTTTTTTTCTTTATATATTTATTCATGTAAATTAATGACTATTGAAACGTATCAACTTTTACGTAGACAACTCCCGAACTTTTTTATTAATCGGGTCATGGGGGGGCTCCTGACTCCTGTGACACCCCTTGATTATGGCTTTGGGTGAAATGATTTTATATTGAATAACTCTTGATTATTTGATTATTCGTTATATTCACAATATTCTACACTGGATTATACATGAAATTTACAAAAATATATGAACACCTACATTTTAAATTTACACATATATAGAGGGTATTCTATTAAGGGGGATAATAATATCATAGTTAGGATATATAAAAAAACTTGATTTTAGTTTCGCAGAATTTAGACACTCCTATAAAATGAACTATAATTTCTTTGGGAATAATTAGCTAAGATCATATAAATTCATTCACTAATTTCTCAGAAATTTGCATCAATGTTGAAAGTTATTTGTATTATTTATCTCATAATCTATGAATATCATATAAAATATGTAATCGGGCTGGAGTTCAACTTTCTTTTGAGAACAGAAAACATAAATAATATTGCTAGATGAAAACATATATGAACAAAACTTCCCTCTGCTGTAGAAAAGTTGATCAAAGTTACTCCTAACTCTGCATTCCAGAAAACATGTATTTTCTTAAATATATTATTTTAATCACTGGTTTGAACTAAACTCAATAAAAATATCAAAATGAATTGAATTTCACCAAGCAAAATTTGTTATAACAAATTATGGGCACTATCACTCTAATCGCTCAGGAAGATTTTGGCTATAATATTCATTTTGTTGATTTTTGATATTTTTTGTGAGTACTTCTATTATTGTAAGACATAACATACAAAAAAAAAGAATCTCTTGTTTTTAATTGAAAAGGTATCATGTCGAATTGTAAGTATGTAACACTAAACTAAATGTTTCCAATTACAATATTTGACGATTTCATAACTGGTTTATCAAATTGTATGCAGATATTTCAATTGTTTTGTTTGTTATAACACACATTTGTAAACTAACTTCGGACATATAGTACAATCTGAATTTATTAGTTCAATTGCTACGTCTAGATGAGGAAAGTTTCTTCTTAATTTTTTGTGTGATAAAAAAATTAATATTCTTCCGCATCTGTACCTTATGATAAACACAATTCTGCCAAAACATGAACTAACTCATACATTTTGTAGAATTTTATGATGACAAATTTGGTACTGGTCCCTTTTGAAAAATGGTACATTTTTCTTTGAAAGTGTTGAATTTTCTCCAGTCATTTCTGCAGAAGATTCAAGAGAGAAATCCGTACATGCAATGGTTGTTCAACAATAATTGATTTTCAAATTTAAAGCAAGAACTACATAACTTCATCTAGTCTTCAAAACTAAAGCATTCTTTGGATTGCGGTGTATTCAACTTTCAATTCATCCATCGGACTGATGAGCGAATCGATGACATTCTGATTAATCATGTCAGTACCAACCATAAAACGGTTGGTGTCCGAAAGATTTCGGAGGCTGGTGCGGGTGGTATCCATAAATACTGTGCTGCATACTATTCTGTCCAAAACCACTCAAACTTTGGGGTAGCGGTTGAGTCAGTTGTCCAAGAGGGCTTGAAATACTTTGGTTGTTTGTAGTTGGACTGAGATTTCTCATTTGATGGCCCGGAGACATGTGCCATTGAGATGGTAGATGTTGAATTGTGTTGGATTCATTGCAGGAAGGAGCATCATCGTTACTGTTACTGTTACCTGAAATAGATTGTTTCGATTTATTTTTCCTTTTGAAGAAATACTACGAATGGAGAGACGCCACATCTACATTTAAAAAGTACGATTCTGACATTTTTCCTTTAATTAAAAAATGCATGATGTTGAATTTGACCTGGCCAAGCAGTGTCGCTTGAGCAGAGCGAAGTTTTTCAGCCTTAAGGCGCCTCAAAACTTGGCTCAGATCCACAACGAGTCAGGATCGTTTAACTGGTCTAGCACTATTACATGTACATGCCTGGGACTTACCCATAGAAGCTAATGCAGTAATATATCGATACCTATGTCAATAAGAAAACCGAAAACTAGAATTTATCATTTAATTTATCTGTTGCATTATCTTCCGTACAATTAGTGAGATGTACTTTTCAACGAATATCATTGTTTATTTTTACTCACCTTGCCAAAGACAAAAAAATGTTGTTTTTCTCTAAAATCTAAAGTTTATTTTTATTGAAATCTTTAGTTATTTATACTTTCTTATTTTATTTATGTTAAAAAATCTGACGTTTTTATTTCACAGTTTCCTAATAATTCAAGCCATTGTGAAAGGTGAGTGGGTGAAAAGGCCAGTTTGCATTTTTTTCTTGTTGGTGAAAATATGGTGGTATGGTGAAAATATTTTCCTTCGCAATTACCCCCCCTGTAAACGAAAGCTGTATACGCGCCTGATTGACTATAATGATAATGAGTATTTGAAATAGAGTTATTGCTGCTGGAAAAAGCCTTAAAAAAACTTGAAGAGATACCTGGCTAATATTTTTTCGAATAGAAACATTGAAAATACATGTGTTGTAATACATCGATGAATATGTCATTCATATCCAAAATCAAGCTTGTGCTTGTTCTTGGATTTATTCTACGCCAGAGATTAGAGTTTTACTTTTTATACGAAAATTGGATTGGATTCAGAGAATGAAGGGTTGTGTTGAAAATTCGTTTATATCACATCATAACAAACATGAAATAGAAACGGTAGAGCCGTTTTCAAGGTAGTAATTTTAGGATCTTCAAAAAAACAGCTTGTATATGATGTGGTCAGCACGGAGTTTGTTAATTTTTGCTTCGTTTGTTTAAATCAATTGATTCGCATGGATCAGTAATTCCGAATGTACTCGTATATAAGGATGTGCATCATAGCGTCTTGCATAATAAGCGCTGTAATATTTGATTTAAATTCTGGGAATCACTTTCAATTTAAATAATTAAAATGGTATTTATTCAATGAACAATGATTACGAAAAAATAGTTTGAAATGTTCAGAGAAACTTTATGACGTAAATGATCTGTCGTCTCTCTTCGGAAGACCGCCAATGGAAAAACTCTGAGCATTATACAACATCTCAGTTACGACCATTAGTGGCAGAAAAAATGTGGCCAGTCAGGCGAAAATATTAGACAGTTACCAGACCGAAACAAAAACTTAAAGCGTTACATTTATTTTTCTTTCAGTTGCATTCGATTCTTACCTAAATATGGCAAAAATTGACTTTCACTTGATGACAAATTTGAACTGACCTAACCAGAATCTTTGCTTCGTAGAATTCAAGGTTTCTTGCAATTTTGGTGCGAAAATGTGAGCTATCACTTCCGCTTTTTTTGTCTCCGTTCAGAGAGCAAAGCATATGATGATAGTCTGTAAAAATGATTGTGACAATACCAAGGCCGAGATTACCGAAGGATTGTACCTGGTCCTCATCAGATATTGGTAAGGGAGGCCCTCGGATATACTCGTGGGAAAGTAATTGATCACAAGTATGAACAGGAGAAGTAAAACTCTATGAGCGGCTTCATACAACACAATAAGGTGGCTTTTGAAGTTCATACAAAGTTTGTGGGGTCGTTTGCTATTGCTTTCACATAAGAAACTTGGGCCTGCATGGGAATGGGGAACCTCCTGAGGTAGTAAATTTAAAACACAACCTCAGGTATTTTAAAAAAATGTTTGACTTAGGTACTTATGAAGAAAAATTTAGACTCTGTGTAAATGCATCTCACATTAATCATGTTGGTTGGGACTAACTTTATTTGGGGCTCTTTCTATCTCTTTGGAATATGGAATGACAACAATCCCTTAAAAGACAAAAATATATTACCTACAAGTCTTAAAAAGTAGAATTTAGCAGACGCTGTAAAATAAATCTATTGAAAACACTTTCTTATATGCCTAACCTAAAAACTCCATTCTTTTCCTTTGGCTTTTCTGACATAAACAAAACTAGTGCGAACTAGTGTAACTAAATTTAGAAGGTCCTAATGAAACCGAGTGTTTTCACAGGAGGCAAAGCTAATTTTTTTTTTCGACAGCTTCTTAGCCACGTGCCACAAGAAAACGATCCTAATTGAATAAAATAAAAGTGGCATTAAATAAGAGAACTAACACTTCGCAAAAAACTGGATAACTTCTAATCTTGACAAGGACCTGATATTGACAAAAAAATTACCCGGAGGCCCCACCTCTGTAAAATGAATCGATCAGAAAGTTAGAGCTGCCCTGCCGTTGCAGCGATATCATTGCTCTGTACTGCAAGAGATTGGATCTATTGAAGAGGTGACATTATTACTCTCGTAACATTCCGGATTATGAACAATTTGGGATTATATATTTTATACAAAAGTAGGATTTACTGTGACGCTAGAAATTTTTTGACCCACACCCCACAATTTACAATCTGTTATGAAATTGCTGGTGTTCTACTGTTTCCCACATATTCTCAGAGTGCTCCTAGTTTCAAGTTCTCAAAGTTGAAATATTCACAATGCCATTTTTGAAGTATACATTCTACAATACTCACCATTATTTCCACCCAGCATAGTCAGACTAGAGGAATTTGGCGCCATGTTTCCGAATCCTGCTTGCCCTAGAGGACTAGGGGACTGCTGTAAGTTATTGTCGTTTCTATCTTTATATTCTGCCATTTCAGTTGGCTGGGACAAAGGTTGAAGCGTGTTGGTTGTTACCGTAGGCGAAGATAAGCTAGTGGCCGGCGTCATATTTTGTGATATCGGCATCAAGTTGGGGTTGGAGTAGATTGGATGAGCTGCGTAAGGGTTGTGTGGAAGAGGGTGTTCCCACTTGACGTCGGACATTGGTAGATTCGGAGAAGTGGAGTGTCCGCTGTGGGTCGGGTACAAATCTGAAACTACAAATAAAATTTATAATTTAGAACACATATACATATTCACTCTACATGTTATAAATAAAAAAATTGAACTTGCATATACAGAAAATATTAAAATTTTATCGGTTATTTATTTCATTGAATAAGACTATGGAACATGATAATTATAAATTCAAAATTGAAAAAAAAATCGTGTTCGATTGATGACCTATTTATTTTGTAAAAATTCATATTGGTTATAGAATAATGAAAATAACTTTTGTCTAATTGTTAATTATTTGTTAGGACCGGTTTCGGTTTATTAGACCATTTTCAAGTAACTCGTAGACTATGAAATATAATTCAGGATAAACAATATCAATGAATAGAGATAGAAAAATAAATAATCATAAAAATGTCATAACACAAATAACATATAGTGGTTTCTTCTTTTTCATTTTCATTTGTTTTTTATCATTACTGAAATATATTCAGCTCATGATGATTGAAGATTGCAATGGAACTTTTAACGAAACAATTTTATATGCAGGGCTACTAAATAGGCATCTCGTAAACAGAAGAGCACATACTTTGTACCTGCCCCGCTGGGGTCCGAATCAGGTTTTTAGAGTTCGGCAGAGCCGTACTTTTACCATCTGACCTGAAAGACCACTCACCAAATATCAAAAACAACTATCTTTTTGACGTATCAGTTAATACGCCAAGAATAGTAATTCGACCACGCCACTGGCAGAACTTTTAGGAACCGCATCTAGGAACATCATATGAGCTATGTGAATAAGAAAACAAGTTCAACATATTCAAATCATCTATTGAAAATGCGTTCCGAACAAAAATTACGGTCTCTGGACCCGTGTTTCGCTAACCAAGTTAGTGTCTTCAGGAGATCATCATGAGTCAGTCATAATTATCGCAGTCATAATGATCTCCTGAGGACGCTAACTTGGTTAGCGAAACGAGCGTCGAGAGACCGTAATTTTTGTTCTGGTGTTGGGAAAATGTTTTCAATAGATTGATTTTACGCCAGAGGTTCTAGATAGTATTCAAATAATATATAATGAGTTTATGTAGAATGCTGACTCATTTATTCGACATGTTTCAATAATATATCGTGTTTTTAAAATGATAACATCAAAATACAGGTAAAATTATTAATATTTACAAACTGGCAACACTGTTCGCAAATCTCATTCTAAACCCTGTTCGATTGTCCTTCGTCATAAACTGTGGATGAAAAGTTGTGGGTAACTTCACACTAATAAATATACCTAAGTTTTTTTTACCTGGAAATGAACAGATTCTATAATGGCAAATTATTCAATTCAGTTTGATCGGTCATTAGATATTGAGAGTTTTTGAATTTGTTTATTTCCATACTCTTCAACAGGTTAAGTTTCAAACCTTTCTTCTGGAAATGGAGGGAAATGAATTAATGGTTGAACTCATGTCCCTCTGTGATTAAATGAGTAGGTAGCATATGTGGAATTTTTTCATTCTGGAAACTATTTTTGTGTTCCTTTATGCGGCTTTGAACGTTTTTTCAGTTTGGCCTATATAAAACATCGGACATCCACCATTCTGTCACATTCAAAATGGAGATGGAAAAGGACGACTCTATAAATTTTTTGGACTTTAAAATAACAAAAGTTAACAACAAACATGATTTTTTAATTTACATATATTATCATTCATAATTCGTCTACCCACCCATATCAGCACAAAGTAGCAGCTTTCAACATTATGTTCAAGAGACTGATAAAGTTGCCCTTGTCAGAGGCCAATTTTAATAAAGAACTGAACATAATAAAACAAATAGCCGTCAACAATGATTACGATAGCAGTCTAATACATTCTTTATTATCAAAAAAGTTATACAGCCAAGCTTTGAAGGAAGATTACCCAATTTGAAGACAAGAGGATAAAACTAATAAAATCTTAACCTACTTAGGCCAACCCACTACAAATATTTCAGATTTTCTGTACAACAAAGGTGTAAGTATTGTTTACAAAACCAACAACTACTTAGACATGCACATTATGAATAACAAAGATAAAAGTTCAGTTTCAGAAAAATCGGGAGTGTATAAATTATCATGTGGGTCATGCATGATGTTTTATATAGGTCAAACTAGAAGAACGTTTAGAGCCCGCATAAAAGAACGTAAAAATATTTTCCAGAATGGAAAAATACATTCCACTTATGCTACTCATTTAATCACAGAGGGACATGAGTTCAACCATAAATTCAAGCCCCTCCATTTCCAGAAGAAAGATTTGAAACTTAACCTGTTATTGGAGAGTATGGAAATGAACAAATTCAAAAACTCCTAATATCTAATGAACGATCGAACTGAATTGAATAATTCGCCATTATTGAATCTGTTCATTTCCAGGTAAAAATAGTTAGGTATATTTACGGTACTATAGTTATATAGTTAATGAATTCATACCTGACCATTTCAGGTAGATTCATTCATTAGGAAGTAGGCATACAAGTAGGTAATATGTTGAAGTAAAAAATGGTTGTAATTTAGAATTAACTTTTAGTTTACGCTTGAGGAAGCTATTGTATAGCGAAACACGTGTCGCGGTTTTGTAAAACCCTTCCTAGTGAAAAATCATAAAATAAACTGTATTAATTAGTTTAAATATGCATTTATATCAAGTATCGGCCAGTTCTACTCAACTAATTATTTTTTCACTTACTTTGATTCGAACTAGAGGCTGCTGTAGCTGCCGAACTGGAGAAAGTGCTTTCGCTCATTCCTGGTCCAAGAGTTGAAGCGTAGGGTGTAGTTGGAGCATTGTATGGCCCACCTACAACTCCCAGAGGAGAGTAAGAGGATGAAGCCATTTGTTTCCTTAGCCTTGCTCTTCGGTTACTGAACCACACCTGTAAATATATTTATAGTGATTATTTCCTTCAAACCGATGAAGTGATGAAAAAATTGAAGGCTAGGCTACAAGAACAAAGTTTTATAGCGATAAAACGCTTCTTTCGAACAGCGATGAAATTAATAGCGATATAGTGATAGTGATGAAGACTGTGATAATGATTAACTATAATTGTGTTTTCAATAATTGTACTTTCGAACAAATGCTCTTGGTGAAATTTCTAGCCATTTAATTTGGGAATTGGTATTTTGTTGTTATATCGATGAATTCTGCTGAGAATATTTCTGAAAATATCAAAACTCGACTTGATCATTTTCTCAGACGAATTTAATTTTTTTAAACTCCAACTTTGTTATTTTTGAGCATGAGCACAAAGTTTGCTTTCAGAGTATTGCAATATAAAAAAGTTTTCGTTAGAAAATGAAAATGTATCGATAAAATGTCGAGGTCTTTCTGCTATCACTTACGATAAATTAACAAGAAAAAATGTGAAAGGAAATTGATGAAGTACATTTTGCACTTCAGAATTCAATTGGTCATTATTTTAATTGATCTACCTGAATTCTGGCTTCCGTTAACTTTGTCCTTTGAGCTAGTTCTTCCCTGGTATAAATATCCGGATACTGTGTTCGTTCAAAGGCTTTTTCCAACTCGTCAAGTTGGTGTGCGGTGAAAGTAGTCCTGGAACGGCGCTGTTTTCTTTTCAATGGTATACCTGGTTCGCTTTCACAATCAGAACCACCTTCATTATTGCTGGATTTATCTGAAAAATAAAAAACATCTTGCAACAAACGGGATGGCACTAGAAAATTCATTAGTGAAATAAAGTATTCTTGCAACTGTTCTAACTGACTGTCTCGTGCAATTTCAGATCAAAAATTTCAAGATGAAAATTATTTCGATATGTTCATAGACATAGATGAAGACAAGAAGAGATTTGACAAAGTTAAAGTCAAGCCTCTGGGAAAAAGAACAAAAAACCCCGGGCCTCATGGAACAGAAGAGAAAATTTTCATTTGCAGAAACAGGTGTACCAAAAATAATTTTATCAAAGACAAAATTATCAGTGATTATTTCTTTCGAACCGATAAAATGATGAAAAAATTGAAGGCTAGGCCACCAAAAATAAAGTTTCACGTCGATAAAATGCACTGACGGTGATAAAACTGACAGACATGAAATTAACATCTAGGTGCAATTATTTTTAAACCATAAGTGATTCTCTGAGTCAAACTAAATGAACATGTAAATCTAGTACTAACTAATAAAATGAGCACTGATTCACATAATCTCACGAAAATAAGACAACAACAATAATTATGTCTGAAAACAATATTTTACCCATCAAACAATCTGGATTCAGAAGTATAACTGTGCAACTGTTCTTACTGATGTAGTTGACGACTTAATTGAGGTTATTGACAAAAGTAAAATGAGTGCGCTCATTCTTCTCGACTATTCAAAAGCCTTCGACTTGATAAATCATATGTTGTTGTCAATGCTACATTATTTCANCCAGCTTCTTAACGAAGCCGATTAGTTCGTACGGTGAGGGGTCTTTCAGGTCAGATGGTAATTGTACGGCTCTGCCGAACTCTAAAAGCCTGATTCGGTCCCCAGCAGGGCAAACACAAACTATGTACTCTGCTGTTTCATCATTTTCCAAACAGAGGTGACATACACTGTCTTCCGACAGTCCGAGACTCTGCATATGATGATAGAAATGACAGTGACCTGTTAGACATTGTAGTTCATCCCTACTATATTCCAAGAACTGTTTGGTATCAAGCTTCGAAGGGTGAATAAAATCCTTGGAGTGGGCCAATCCTAGAAGATTCTGCCAGAAGTCCATGAATATTCTTGCCATCCATTGGGTTTATTCTGAATTTCATTAAAATCGAAAAAAATACGCGACGTATTGGTGCTGCATCTAGTTGCGTCAAATAGGACGACTATTGTTGACAAATACGACTTAAGTCGAGTTACGTATTCGGCCCATATATTCTAACATGAACTTTAAACAAAGGTTCCAGCTGAAATTTCTTGTTATTCAGGTAATGAATTTTGTTTAATCTGAGAATTAATATTTTGTTATTATATCGATGCATTCAGCAATGCTGTTTGCATTCATGATATTGCTAAATAACAAATTTTTCGTTAAAAAATTAAAATTTATCGATAAAATGTTGATTAATACGTAATCATCAATGACATGAGTAAAAATACACTCCTGAACGAGAAACTCTGACATTTTGGAGAAATAAAAACTGAATTGGGTAAACTGATGAAAATGTAGGAGTTAAATCGGACTGAACCTGAACATATCATCATACACGACAAGGATATTCCTGAACTGAATTAAGAAACTTATGCCTTAGTTTGCGAAAAACAGAATGAACATGTTATCATTGGTCGTTTGTTTTTTAATTTTTTCGAAATTCTATTCGCTTTCTTCCTTGTAAAATATTTTCAAGTTTGCCATTAAATAAGTGTCAGTATAATAGAAATGAATCAATATGAGAACTATATTTTAATGCTTGGCTGGGGTTATCAATTTAAAAAAATTATTACATACGATAAAGTTTCGAAAATTCAAAATATGCTTTATTGAATTGCAACAACAAATTTTAAAACATATTTTACTGTAACGAAAATAAATAACTTTGAAGGTCGTGCTATCAACATCAAGGCTCTACTCAAACTGAACGTTTCATCCTCTCCAAGAAACACTACAAGGTGAAGATACCGCCGATGGGGAACCTAACCTAACCTAATCTAACCTAACCTAACCTAACTTCATTATAATGCTATATGACGTTAAAGTAGCTAGATCTTGAGATTTTTTTGATAAACAATTTTTTTGAGTTACTTCTAATACCTCCAACAACATGTGTACAAAATTTCATGATGATCGGTTGAGTAGTTTTCGCGTGAAACCGTAACAAACAAACTTACATTCGCATGTATAATATTAGTAGGGATAGGGATAGGGATATGCACACATGAAACAATTACAATTACGGCTAACAAATATTATTTCAAATACATAGTTACTGGCAGTTCTGCGATGTTTTGAAAAATGTTTGGTGTGGTATATTAGTAGTACTAATACTGCATCACAGTTTTGGTCAAAATTCCGTAATTCAGGAAATGCAAGTAAAAATATGAAATATTTTAGTTTTTGTTCTAAACGTTCGAAAAGTTGAAAACTTCCGTTGAATAAATATTGTAGATTTCAATAGGTAGGTATATACTATAAAAAAGTAAGATTGATTTACGAAATATCAGAGAATCGAGAAACGTACTTTCTAAACTTGTAAGCAAGGAGTAGTATTCACATTATCGGTATCCTATTGTAGTATAAAAATATCACCTAAACGCTTTCCAGTGATAGATTTGACGGAGATTGAGGTTCTTATATGTTGGAATTTTATATAAGCCAAGTATTTTTCAAAGGCAGATATGTGAATTTTTTTAAATTTTGGCGAATGTGCCGATTTCATTATTTTGAATATTCAATATGATTGTCTAGAACGGGGGGAAAAACAACAATATGCTTGAAATGCGGAAAATGAAATTGCATTATTGAAAATTGAAATCAACTTCTGCATTTTATTGCAAAACGATAGACAAAAGTTACTTACATCGATATTTATCATAGAAACAATATCAAATAATATAAAAAAAGATGAACAAACTTGTTTGGATATATTCAATGATGAAGATATACCCACAGCAGAACTATTTTAAACGAATAGTTAGTTTTTGTAAGTTGTTGCTGAAACTAGCAAAATAAGATAATATGCAGGCCTTGAAACGTAGGTAGCTGAATATTTGAGACCAGAAACATGGATAAATTACGGTTTTTCCTTTCGAAATTATGATTTCGAGATTAAGAATGATAAAACAATAAAAGGTTTTGACAAGTAGTTAGAAACGTTTATTTCAAACAAATACCTGAACTGGAATATTCTAGACACTCCAACTAAGATCCAAATTCAGAAGAATAATTCAGAGAGTTTTGAGAGTAAGTGGCTGAACAGTGTGCGGTAATGGATTTGAAATATGTATTACTGCATGAGTTGTTCAACTTGATTATTATTTTTTCATTGAGTACCTATATATACATACGGGGGGTTAATTCCTCACCAACGGCCACGGCCGTGCTGCATCTATCTATTTTTGTGATAAAATGGCGGATTTTGGTTACATATAACTAGTTGTTTTATGTGAAATAAACACAACTGTAGTTGTACTAATGAATGTTCAGTAAAGTAACTCTAACAGTGAAGTTTCAATAACTATTGATATGAAAATCAATTAATTTCAGAATTTATTGTGAACTGTCATTCATTTTAGCGAAAGAAATAATATTATGTGTTTTTGAAGATACCTTCAAATTATTTCCTTTATAGTGATAAAATTGTCTTGCAGTATTATCCACCTAAATAATAATCTATTGTCTAGAAACTGTTGTCAATTTTTTAAATTAGGATACTATTTATTAATCATTTTGTTGAAGAACACCCTGTAACTGAGAGCAAGAATATTCAGTGTCTCTGAAAAATATTCATTGGTCTCTAATATCCATATTTTACAGATACTTTCATAATTATGAAATATTATTCCACACCTTTTTAATCGTGTAAATCGTATATATTTACATTTTTCCACTTATTCAGCAATTCCGATATCATTTATATCTAAGATGGCGGAACGAAATTGTCACTGTTCCAGTCCACTCATGCTAACAAGTAGACCTCCCGCAAAGGATGTTTGTGCAAAGGAAACCACTATCGTTAAGTCGTTTTAATTTGAACTCGGCCATTGTTTGTTCTCTAGTTGGATCTCATCAAGTGTGAAGAATTGGTTTCCGTCACGGTTTGTGACTTCTGTGTACAAGATCATAAAACGGTAGCTGACTAATACTGATAAATATGGCGTTTTATTTTCTATCGTACATTGATTATTAGAGGGAATTTTGTTATAAATGACACTGGACTGGAATAGCCCATCATCTCAGAGCCACCACTAACATCATTTCAGCAATGCTGATATTTCAACGATAAGTACAGTAATGTTGTATTATAATAATACTTGATAACTTAAAAGCGGGGTCTTCCACCATAGATCAGGGGGTCAAATTAACATCCTATTAAAACATTGCTCTTAATAAACGACATTTTCCTGAGAATGTGACAATGCTAAACATTTTTTTATTTGAAAGACAAGTGAAAGACAGAAAATACTTAAAGTACTGCAAACAGCTTTCAACTTCTGTTTTCATTCTAGAGAAACGAGCTATAAGATATTTGTGTGAAGTAAAATGGAATTAAACTTGTAGATCTCTTTTCAAATGGAACAACATTCTAACTGTATTTTCCTAATTTCTCTTCAAAACTTGCTGTCTTATTGGTACACAAAAATAAAAGTTTCTTCCTACCAGGTTCAAGTCATTTTACAAGACAAACACATCAGGTTGCCTATACCAATATCCTTCCCAGTGAAAGATTCGATTGTGTATACGGTAATTAAAATATTTAACAATTTACTGCAAGCCCTTAGAAATACTTTTATTTTTGTTAAGGACGAAACACAAGCACTACAGGAAAATCCCTAAGGCGCTCTCAGAGCGGTGCCTGAGCAGCACAAATGTGCCAAGTCACTTGAACACCTCCCGTGAAAGTATCTATAGAAGAGAGACAAATCTTCAACCTTTCTTTGATGTTCCAGGCTTTCAAGGTTGCACGTGCTATTCGCGTT